TCCAGTGGTGTCAGAGGGCAACCAATGGTTTCTTGTGCCAAATTGATCACTCTCTGTAGTGCCTTCCTGCAGCTGTTAAACCAGCATACCATACTGTAATACAATATGTGAGGATACTTTGTATGGTGGACTGATAGAAAGAGGTCATCAGCCGTTGTTCCACCTGATTTTTTCGCAGGACTCTAAGGAAATGAAGTCTCTGTAGGGCCTTTCCAATCACCAGAGACAGGTTATCCTCAACTTACAACCACCATCGAGCCCAACAATTATGTTGCTAAGTGAAACAAGTTTACAAAAAGAGACTTCTGCCCCTATTACAACTTTTCTTGCCACAGTTATTAAGTGAATCATTCCGGTTGTTAAATGAATCTCTGTGGGTGTTAAAGGAATAACAGGGTTGTTGAGCGAATCTGGCTTCTCCATTGACTTTGCTGGTCAGGAGGTCGCAAAAGAGGATCACGTGACCTTGGGACACAGCCACCGTCATAAATATGAACCAGCTGCCAAGCGGTTGAATCTTGATCACGTGGCTAAGGGGATGCTGCAATGGTTGTAAGTGTGAAACATAGTCATAAATCAACTTTTCCACTGCTGTTGTAACTTCAAACAGTCACCAAATGAAATGTAAGTTGAGGATTACCTTTAAATCAATCTGATATGCAGAATAAAGAATGAGAGATTCCTATATTGCCTAGATCTGTGATGGAGAACCTATGGGACGCCTGCCACAGGTGCCACACAGCTCAGCCCTACCATGCTTCCTGCCGGCCAGCTGATTCTTGGGTCTCTGCCGCACATGTGGGAAACATGCACATATGCATCGGGGGGTTGGGGAGTCATGTGCGCATGCATAGTGGGGGCACTCCCACATGCCATTTTTGGTCCCAGGAGGCTTCAGGGAGACCTGCTAGGCCCAAAACGGAGCAAGGGGGTCACGTGCATGCCCGGGGGGAGTGCATGGGGTCACACACATGTGTGGGGTTGGGGGAGCACGGGGGGGTCATTCACACATGTGCAAGGGGGCAGGGCACATTGCATTATAGGCGTGGGCACGCACGTGCGCTGTCATGCACGCATGCAGGCATGATTTCCGCACGCGAGGACGAAAAGTTTAGCCATCACTGGCCTAGATAATCGGAGAATGTATCCACTTCTACAGGTAGCCCTCAATTTATGAGGACCCAGATTGTTAGGGGCAATAGGCTGACTCTGTAAACCGCTTAGAGAAGACTGCAGGTCACTCTGAAGTGGTATATAAGTCTAAGCTCTGTTGCTGTTGCTATAACCGAAATTGAGTTTGGAATTACAGTCATAAATCGTTGGAGTCTAAATCAACACACCAGGAAATCAGACTTGATTTTTTTTTTTTACAGCAGTTATTAAGCGATTGGCTGTTAAGCAAATAAATTTCTCCCAGTGGACGTTTTTTTTTTGCCAGAAACTGGAAGTGAATGCCAGAAACCAGCAAAAAACATAGCAAATTGTGTTCGCGTGATTAGGAAATGGCAATAAAAATGAACTTTTCCAAGCACCCAAAAAGTGGGAGATGCAACCATTTTAACGTCACATGGTTATTAACTGATGTGTTGTAATTGAAGACTTTGTATATAGCAAGAATCTCAATGTAACTACAACTTATAGAAGAAAACAATTACATTTGAATATTTGAAGTTTTGGATTCTATTACATATGTGTAAAAACATATGTCTAAGACAGCATTTTTTTTTTTGCAGAAGTAAGAGAGGCAATATTTTCTTAAAACATGTTTTTACAAGGTACTATGCTAAGCATGTTTTGGTGGAAAGTAGCAGATTATATCAATATGACGACAACAAAAGTTAACATTTTCAGAAGATGATATTCTCTTGAATTACATACCTAGTACATGGAACTTGATGACTGGACAACATAAATGGATTCTCCGTATAAGTATCGTATAAATATAATCTTTATTGTCATTGTACTTAAATACAATGAAATTGGTGAATATTAGGGTGAATATTGGTGAATATGAATGTTACTCCGTGAACATATTACAGCTGAAAGACAGATATTTCAACATTGGAAATATAAATGCACAGCCCCATTTATGCAGGGGTTTGAACATTCAATTACATTGCTACTGATGAGCAGGTGCATATAGACATAAACTTTGTACGGATAAATAAAATGAAATATGGGACTCATTCAGAAGTGGTATTCAGCCGGTTTGGACTGGTTCAGCTGAACCAGTAGAAGAAAAGGCGGATAGGACTGCCCACTCGCCCCAGCATTATGCCGTCCTATATAGGCACATTTTTGAGGCCAGGTGCATGCAGAGAAGAAGCATGTGCAAGTAAAGCGCATGTGTAGAAGCATGCGCAAAGCAAGCAGGTGCGGACGGGGCAAACCAGTGGTAACAAAATGTGAAACCCACCACTGGATTCATTTATATAAAACGCTAGTAGCCCTAGCTAGAAAGCAGGAAATCTGATGATTCTAGCTAATATAAATCACGTGTCCTAGCTGATTGTTGCCCAGCTCATTGTCAGAAATACCGGTTCGCCCGAACCGGTAGCATTTTTTACTACCCGAACCAGTAGCTGTCAGGTGCTGCTTCATTTAATAATCAGGAAAGAAACCATTCAACTCCATTCTTGAAATNAAACAACCCTGTGAAATCAGTTAAGGAAGTCATGATTTCCTGGTTTGCAGTCTGGTACCTATGTGAAAACAGACAAATGATAATTCAATCTATCAATAGGGCTGTTGTTGGGTTTTTTTTGCAACCTTTATATCAAGTTTCATGACTTGCTTGATTAAAGGTAGGGTATCTCTAGCCCACACATTCTTATGCAAGGCATTTGCACAACCTTCTCAAGTTCCTTTTGTGTAATTGGAATTGTTTTTGTTAGTGTCAGCATTTGATATATCTGCATTTACCATCATACTTCAGCTGTCCTGTAACTGTCTCTTTTAGGAAAAGGTTCAAGAAGGCCCAAGCCCAGCAAGGATTAGATTCCAATTGCAGCTGGAAGGAAGTCTATGTAGGATGAGACAGGAAGCGATTGTTCATTATTTTCTTGCATGCATTGCCTTTCTCTGTCTAGGAAGAGGCAAATAAACATTTCTTCTCTGATCTCCTGGCAGAGAAAACAGTTTTGGACATAGCTTGTGTCCACTTACAGGGCTACCTGGAAATTGGATTAGTTCTCCAACTTGCACTAATTTGACTCTAATGTAATGAATTCTGCTATCATTTGATAATTTAATCTGAATGAATTTTTTCCTAATGAATGTAGGTGCCTTCTGATAGGCTACATAGTGTAAGAGGAATAATCTCAATATTGAATGCTTTATTGAATTGAACTTATTGAATTGCTCATGCAAAGGATTTCTCACTCTAAACATAAAGAAGTTGAAGCAGAAAAACTAAGTTTTATTGTTATTTTAGAGAGGGGGTAATAGTTTTAATAAACATGTCTTCCTTCCAAATAAAGCACTTACTCTTCTTTTATTTTCTAGAGAATATATGCCAACATTGGAAGAGTTTTTTGAAGAAGCTATAGAACAGGCAGATCCTGAAAACATGGTTGATAAAGAATTTAAGTATGTTCCACAAATCATTTTTTTCATAATTCTGCTTTTTCAGGCATATATTCAAAACATACAGGTAGTCCTTGACTTACAACAGTTCATTTAGTGACCNCCTCAGCCTGTTTCTTGGGACCCCGCAGGCCTTGGGCCTACTCACCACATGCCCATCATCCATTACACACAACTTTTGAAGATCTCCATACCTTTGTGTATCATTGGCCGTGCAGCAGCCTTGCAGAAGCAGCCTTTATTTTCAAAATGCCCACAGTTCCTTGACACAATCTGTATAGAAATTGACAAGTGGCAGCCATTTTTGCACATTCATGAGGTGCATGCCAAAATGATGCCAAAAGAGGTTGGTGTGGGGCGTGGTGGGGTGGAAATTGGGCCTAAAACCTGCAGGGTCTCAATGGGCAGGAAGCAAAGCAGAGGGCTTTGAAGACTGGGCCTACACTAGGCCTCCAAGGGCCTCCTCCACCCATGAAGCACCACTGTTCTGCTTAATGGCCTGCAGGCTTCATAACAGTCATATCTCAAGGACCACCTGTATGAACCCTACACTTGGTAGTTTTTAACTCTGAGATGATCTTGTTTTACAGACCGAGTGATTCTAAGCTAGTGAGACCTTTTGTGAGAAAGAGACCAGCTCCTGAAGATTTCTTAGGGAAAGGACCTAACAAAAAAATTCTAATGGGAAAGTATGTTCAGTCCTTTATTAATTTATTTCTACTTTTGTATTGCAAATTAAATGATGCAAAGTGACATTGCAAGGCTGGAAATACTGCTTAAAATAAATTGTATCTGTTTTTGATTACTTTTAATGATAATCGGGACAGAAATGTACAAATAAAAAAATCTCACACATATTTATTTTTATTTTACCAATATTAGAATTGCTTGTTAAATCATATCTTATTTTAGAAATATGAGAACATAGAATTAGAAACTTGTCTGTACTAAGCTAGTTGTTATATAGAAAGTTTTGAATAACAGTATTGCTATATGTTGATGATGCTAATGTTAGTGGTATAGAATCTATTCCATCTCTGATATCTGTGCACACAAACACATACATAGGCCGATACCTTTTCCAGAAGAGTGGTTGCCTTCAGAAATAATTGACATATGAATAACAAAATATAAGAAATAGTAATGTGCTTTGTGCGTTGTGTTACAGTGAAGAATTAACTCGCCTCTGGAATTTATGTCCTGATAACATTAGCATCATGTAAATCTGAGACTCGGTGAGTAGTTGTACTTCTTGTTCTCTTCCTAAACTAATATTCTAGGGGCATTAATGTTACAGATCTCTGGGATTGGCAGATGATTTTGCTAATCATGTTACAGCTCCTCGAGACTGATTTGTAAATTGGGAATCCTGCTAAAAAATAAATCTGCCCTTGTACCACAATTGAAAGGAAACAGGAAATCCCCAAACATCACTTATGTTCTTTTTGTGTGTGTGTGCTTTTCTCTCCTTATTTATTGGGTGTGGCACTTAGATAACTATCAGGATGGGATAATTAAAATTTTATCTCCCTTTCCCATGGATGAAATACTGAATATTATGTG